CAGCGACCCAGAGACCCAGGGTCGCTGGGTCTTTGAATCCAGCGACCCAGAGACCCGGGGTCGCTGGGTCTTTGAATCCAGCGACCCAGAGACCCAGGGTCGCTGGGTCTTTGAATCCAGCGACCCAGAGACCCAGGGTCGCTGTGTCTTTGATTCCAGCGTCCCAGAGACCCACAGAGACAAAGACCCAGCGACCCAGATACCCAGGGTCGCTGGGTCTGTGAATTCAATCGACCCAGAGACCCAGGTCGCTGGGTCTTTGAATACAGCGATCCAGAGACCCAGGTCGCTGGGTCTTTGAATCCAGCGACCCAGAGACCCAGGGTCGCTGGGTCTTTGAATCCAGTGACCCAGAGACCCAGGGCGCTGGGTCTTTGAATCTAGCGAGCCAGACACCCAGGGTCGCTGGGTCTTTGAATCCAGCGACCCAGAGACCCAGGGTAACTGGGTCTTTGAATCCAGCGACCCATAGACACAGGGTCGCTGGATCTTTGAATCCAGCGACCCAGGGTCGCTGGGTCTTTGAATCCAGCGACCCAGAGACCCAGGGTCGCTGGGTCTTTGATTCCAGCGACCCAGAGACCCAGGATCGCTGGATCTTTGAATCCAGCGACCCAGAGACCCAGGGTCGCTGGGTCTTTGAATCCAGCGAGCCAGAGACCCAGGGTCGCTGGGTCTTTGATTCCAGCCACCCAAAGACCCAGGGTCGCTGGGTCTTTGAATCCAGCGATCCAGAGACCCAGGGTCGCTGGGTCTTTGAATCCAGCGACTCAGCCACCCAGGGTCGCTGGGTCTTTGAATCCAGCGACCCAGAGACCCAGGGTCGCTGGGTCTTTGAATCCAGCGACCCAGAGACCCAGGGTCACTGGGTCTTTGAATCCAGCGACCTAGAGACCCTGGGTCACTGGGTCTTTGAATCCAGCGACCCAGAGACCCAGGGCCGCTGGGTCTTTGATTCCAGCGACTTTGAGACCCAGGGTCGCTGGGTCTTTGAATCCAGCGACCCAGAGACCCAGGGTCGCTGGGTCTTTGAATCCAGCGACTCAGACACCCAGGGTCGCTGGGTCTTTGAATCCATCGACCCAGAGACCCTGGGTCACTGGGTCTTTGAATCCAGCGACTTTGAGACCCAGGGTCGCTGGGTCTTTGAATCCAGCGACCCAGAGACCCAGGGTCGCTGGGTCTTTGAATCCAGCGACCCAGAGACCCTGGGTCACTGGGTCTTTGAATCCAGCGACCCAGAGACCCAGGGTCGCTGGGTCTTTGAATCCAGCGACCCAGAGACCCGGGGTCGCTGGGTCTTTGAATCCAGCGACCCAGAGTCCCAGGGTCGCTGGGTCTTTGAATCCAGCGACCCAGAGACCCAGGGTTGCTGGGTCTTTGATTCCAGCGTCCCAGAGACCCACAGAGACAAAGACCCAGCGACCCAGATACCCAGGGTTGCTGGGTCTGTGAATTCAATCGACCCAGAGACCCAGGTCGCTGGGTCTTTGAATCCAGCGACCCAGAGACCCAGGGTCTCTGGCGTCGCTGGGGTCGCTGGGTCTTTGAATCCAGCGACCCAGAGACCCAGGGTCGCTGGGAGTTATACTGCGATTTATACTGCGAGTTATACTGCGAGTTATACTGCGAATTATACTGCGAGTTATACTGCGAGTTATACTGTAGTTATACTGAGAGTTATACTGCGAGTTATACTGCGTGTTCAGTGTCAAATCCAAGTTGACGACGATATTAAACAAGAAGTTCCAGGTTCAAACAACCTGCACTTTTTTGTACAACCGTTACTGATTGCATTTGTTCTAAGAATGTTCTGTTAAAACATTAGCAAGTTACATCTTATTTTTGTTGATGATATATTTTGATATCATTAGATTTTGAAGCGTGTTTAGTTTGTAGGACGCTTGACTCAACAACGTGCCACGACTGCAAGTGTACAAATTTTATCTCGCACCCAAAAGGTGTGAAATGTGGGAGGTGCTTTTTTAGTGAAACTTCTTGTTTAAACAGTACGCCAATTATAGCTGATGTTAGCGAAATTTCCTTGAGCCTCGATAACTTAAGAACTTGGAAACAATCGTATGGCAACCAGTTCAGTTTGATAAAAGGAGCGTTAATTTTCACGGGCAAAAGTTTGTGTCCACTTAATGGAGGTGCCCCAAAGTAGAGGTTCCACTGTAAAAAAAATGTAAAATAGCAAAATAAAATAACAAAATATATAATAATTACAATCATTCTTATTGAATTAAAAGTTTATAATTTATAGGATGACTATACAATACTTTAATTTGACACTCCCCTCACGGGGCTTTTCAGTGACAATAAAATTACAGTACAAATTACAATTTAAAATTATAAAGAAAAGAAAGAGTCTCAATTTACAGTGAAGAGTGCCCAACCTTTGCCACTTGACAAAGTTTTTGATTAATTTTGGACAAACTGTTGTTGACATCTTGTTGACAACTTTCTAATGGTTTTCAACTGGTCAATGAGAGACGGAGTTGTCAAGCTCGACATTCTCCTCCTGCAATTTGATTGGCTAGTTTAATGGAAGCCATAAGAAAGTTGTCAACAAAATTAATCAACTTTTTTTTCGAGTGGCAACGGTATATAGGGGCGTGTTCTGTCGCACTTTGTAATAATCGTCGCACTTTGTAATAATAAATCTCGTCGCACTTTGTAATACTTGACGCACTTTGTAATAAAATGAGCTGTCGCACTGTGTAATAACAGCCGTGATACTTAAAAAACCTTTGTGCGATAGGTATTACAAAGTGGGACCATTATTACAAAGTGCGACAGAACAGGGTGCACTTCACTTTAAAAATGTCCACAACATTGTATTAAGTAGCAGGATCAACAATACATAATTTATTTTTCAATCTTAAAAAAAAAAATATTGAATATTAATTATTTTTTTATTGAAAGAGAGACACTTCATATTCGTCTTCTGCATCCAGTATTGACACAAAATATGACTGCTATCAATCACAACACTTTCATTTGGGCCGAGGGGTCTCTCAACACATGAAAGTTAATTTATGTAATGTAAAACTAATGTATAACTTGTAAAGTGGTTTTCGTTACTTAAGCCGATATAATACACACATTATCACGGACCTATAATGGTAATAGCTTTCAGCGGCGACAAAAACACATCAGCTTTACTTAGCTTAGTAAGCTGCAGCTGCTTCACCCATATATTCCTCTTTCTTCTACTCAAATTTCAGCAATTATTAATTTAATTTCGGCAGCTTCAAATTCCCAGCAGTTTAAAACATTTTATGGCAAAAAGGTTTATTTGAATGAAAATTTGGTCACTTAGCTAAGGCGTTTTCAAAGGGATATTTTAAAAGGAGATTTCAAAGGCATCTTTTTCCATAGGACTGAATTTCTGGCTTCAAAGTAAGACTAAGAAGAAGAAAGCCATAACTGAAGCCATTCCTGAGTCAGAAGCGACGGTTTTTCATATCACTGCCAGGCAGCGTTAAACAAGGTGAGAATTTATCTTTGAAATGTACAGTTTATTGCCGGTGAAGTCTTTATTATGTCTGATTATTTGTTATCCTTACTACAAACACGATGTGCTGTTATTGTTATTCGCGATGAATATGACAACTTGTGACCTACGGAAGTTTCGTTTCGTTCAAAAACGATATCTTTAAGGTGGTACCGGATTAACGAAAAATGGAGGACACTAGCTACGAATTCAGTCAGTCGAAAAGAGCAATTGAAAAAGAAAATAGAGGCTAGGTTAATTGCGTTGGATCCGTAATTTTATTCGATTTTTACTATCGCTCTCAAAAATATTTCTCCCTTTTTAGTTTATATTTAGTTCAATATTGAGCGGAATTTCGTGAGTATAAGTCATTTCATTTTTGGTTTCCATGCACTCAATTGTTCTATAGCATTCATTAAGAGGATATTGAAACGCAGTGTACTGGCAACTTTTCAGATAAAACGCCATAGAATTTATTGGTCAGAGTCAATATCTGCCTGACAGTTCGTGCCAAAGACAAGGACTTCGCAGGCGCAAAGCTAATATCGAATGTCCATTGAGGTAATGAATACATATATAGTTAAGTTGGTGACGTATCCACGGGTTGGGTAATTTAAGCAAGTCTTTCGTATTTATAATTTCCCTCAAATAATTGTCAAGATTTTGAAACGATCAGCAGCTAGAATAAAGAAAAGAAATCAACAGCTAGGAGATACTGTCTTGATGTACCAACAATTTCTCAAAAGCGACATTAAAAGAAATGCATGGTTTTCAGTTATGAGAATATAAATGTATTACTGATGCTGATTGTCATTCAAGGCAGATTAATTTATCTTAATTTATGCATCAGCACGTCATAAACTGAATAGATTATTTATTTCTATGATGATGTACGTATGAACTGCGGTCAAGGGTATTTTTTTTTGCTTTCTTTACTACCGCTTATCCTCGGTTTGTATATAACTAATCAATACGGTTCCGTAATAACTGACTCCTGAGTCTGATACGCACTACACAAAATAAATCGGTGTAAGAACAATATCTTTGCTATGAAAAATATTTTTTTGGTTTCAATTTAATATATTTTTTTCAATGAATGCAGATTAAAAAGTAATATAATTTATCTGAGGGCGTGTTGCTGAATATTTTATCGACTATCAAGAAAGTCGTTATTCTTGCAAAAATAACTAGTTTTTCAATTTGTTCAAATGGAAGTCGTTTCGTGCTTCATGCTTACTTCACATGCAGGAGTATTCTGGATTACGTCATCCACAGACTGTCAATCCTGTTTTCGTTGTCCAATCACAAGACGATTTTGCATGGCTTTTATTTTAAAACTTGTTTCTTTGCTCGCAATTTTCCATATACGGTAACGTCCCACGCAAAAAATCGAATTAGAGCTGGCATCTAATATTTTTAAACGTTGACAAGTGAAATATGAATAAAATCCTGAAATATCAGCGGATAATCCTCGCAATTATGGAAGCCCAAAAAAAGTTCAGGACTTCAAAGGGATTTGAACCCATGATCTTTGCATTATTGGTGCACGTGCGATGCTTTACCAACTGATCAGCTATGAAGCCGCACATTGGGAGCAAAGGACATATTGTATATTATGAGTTATGTTCCCGTGAAAAGAATAAAATGACAAGTAATTAATATCATAAAGAGCGGTTTTCAATTAAGAGTCGAAAGTAATCGCAAATTTGTTTTGGTTTTGCTTTACTACACTCCGTGATTGGTTGAAGAAACTCGCGCCACCTTCTCAACCAATCAGATGGAAAACCAAAACCAATCGCTATTTGGTCACACGCGTTTTCCCGCACTTGGCGCTGGTTACGTGTGTCTGCTTCGAGTTCTCATTGGTTCATTGTGTTATTTTGTTTGTTGTGATTGGCCATTTAAATTACTTTGGTTTGGTTTCACGACACTCAATTGAAAACCGCTCTATTATTTTTTTAAACAAAAATTCCGGCAGCTGATTTATGATATTTTTATGGTATCCGACGTATTCCTTTACAACGGTTCACACAGTTTGTCACCTCGGCTCTAAATGAAAATTAACGACCTTTTTTTCAGCAGAAGAGTGTGTTCATTTTAATTTAGAGCCGCAGGATAGTTATTTGCAGTTTGATTGATTGTAATTGCTTTCCTGAAAATTAAAACAACTAAGGATGCACATGGATTGTCAGCTGAGAATCATATCTGAAATGAGACGATTGAAAACAATCTCAACTTTTATATAAGTTGATGAGAATTTTGTCGCTGGGTCATTACATTGTTGTGTTTGTAAAAATATTTCTGGATATCGACTCATACCGATTCCAAGAGGCCTTTTCTATAACGAGCAGTTTGGTTATATCTACATGTCGCTCGATTAAAATCTCGAAGCAATTTTTTTCGCCGTCATCTCATTTTATTGCTAACCAATTACTCTTCCTATTATAACTGCACCCTTACAGCGAGACATATTAAAACGCAATTTTAAAATTTTTGATTGTTATTTTCCGCAGTATTTTGTGGGTTTATTTACTTTGTAGCCTTCAGATTACAAAGGTAGTCCCGTCTTGTGTTGTTACTGCTTCCCGATGTTTGCATTAAGTGACACACTCTGCAATATCACTCTTGTTTGCTGATAATAAATTCACAATTCATAGTCTGGAGAGATGACACTTATGAGATCATACAATACCTTGTCATCGAAGACAATTTTCTAAAGCTTCCGCTCGACAAGTTAGTTCTTGAAGACAAGGTATTGTGTGGTGATGACTTAACTAAGAGGCGGCGATTGTGTTATATTCTATGAATGTCGAACGACCTGACAATACGCTTGTTATTCACCTTTAGAGTGGCTGTGTTCTGAAATGTACACATAACTTCTATTTACATTTCAGCGCTGTTTTCACTCTCGTCCATCACCGCGTGTAAAGCCATGATGAATCAAACAAGCACTCCTCGGACGAACAACATGCTGACTACAATACCTACAATCGAAACCATTTGCTTTGGAATCATTCTCTCGTTACTTTCCATCTTCACTCTTCTTGGAAACAGCGTCGTGTGTCTTGCAGTTTGGAGATTCAGGAATTTAAGAACCTTGACCAACTATTTGGTGTGCAGTTTAGCTTGCGCGGACTTGTTGGTTCCAATCCTTCGTGTAATGTATATTGATATTTCAGTTTATGCGGGTGAATGGGTGTTCGGGGTAACATGGTGCCGTATTTCATCAATGTGCGGCGTTCTTTTATGCGGAGCTTCCATCCTTCATCTTTGCGCCATCAGCATCGAAAGACTAATCGCGATAAAATGGCCGTTGTCGTACGACATGAAAGTCACTCCTAAACGCGTTGTTATTTTATTGATCTACATATGGCTGCAGTCGTTTGTTTTATCAATTTTTCCCGCCTTGGGTCTCGCTGAACACCGTTTCAACCCAGTCATGTCAGAATGCGAGATACACTGGCTGAAACATCAAACTTTGACCATTCTGTTACTGGTGTTTTATTGCTTTTTGCCCGTGACTATTATGATGGTTGCTTATGCGATTATTTTTAAAGAGGTCCGAAGAAACACTCGCAGAATTTCCTCGATCGAATGCGCTGGGAATCAACGAGCGAGTAATGTGTTAAAAAGGGAAATGAAAGCTGTGAAAACTTTAGCTGTTGTCGTTGGTGTGTTTTTTATAATGTGGATGCCATATTTTGTAACAACCACAATTCGTGCCTTTAGAGGGGACAGCGCAATCCCGGGCGCGCTCCAAAGAACAGTTATAACGCTCGCTTACGGTAATTCATGCTGTAATTTTGTTATTTACGCTCTCATGAACTCTCAACTGCGCAATGCATTTTATCAAGTATTGAAGGGCTGCTGTGGCAGGCGAGCCAGGCTAGAGTTGAATTCAACCCGAGCCTTGCATATGACCACAGTCGCTACGAGCAAGCAGCCTAATTATATAGAGAAAGCGAATAGATATCGCAAAGACACTTCTGGGGAGAATGAAACGCAAAGAACAAATCGAGACAATTAAGGATTTAGCACATGGTTTGAACCCAGGAGTGAGTCAGGAGTATCAGTAGTTCGTCTAATATGATCGTACTGGTGATGCATGGTAGTCCTGAAAAAGACTGTTGTTGGTGAATGACCGTTTCGACAACCTGTGCGGAAGTCATCTTCAGAGTCAAGTGAAATGTATCCTCATGGATTATTTTAATATACTTTTACTGTTATTTTACTGTTATACTTTGCCACCGATAAATAATGTAAGGGCATCAAAAATTATAAAAACCTAAGTAAGGCTGTTTAATAATTGATCGAGTAGCGTAAGAAGAAATTACAGTTAACTATAAATAAATAATATGATGAGAAGTATAACCTTTTCATTGCGGGTTAATAAATTCTCAGCGGGAAAATCGTCTATTTTTATTATTACAATTGAAAGTCTAGTGCTGTAATGAGAAATTTGTTTTATTGCACACTCACAAGTTCAATTTAATGAATTTCTCGCAACTTGTTTTAATATATGAACAACTTTCGAGTTTCGAGCGTCACTCATTTCCGAGGCTTTATCTGGAACGCTCGAACTGATTTAAGGTTTTTGCTAAGTGTTGTTTTTCGAAGAAATTTAACTGGTCTCCTTATGATCAACACCCCCGTCTGAGAATAATTTTCTTAAAAAATGCAAAATGCATCAAATAGCAATTGTACCACTTATGACGTCATACATTTCGCTCGCTCGCGTGGGGCTGGTTCCGATTCTTCATTTCTACTAAGCACCATATTTGGGAAATGTATGATCTTGTCTCTTTCGACTTCTTTTATGCTATTCCCTTCAGACCAGGCATGATCATGGCGGTAGGTTGAAAACCCGGATATGATAACTGGCACTTTATTAACATCTGCGCATATTTGTCGATAGTTGTTGCGAATCAGAAGAAAAGCTGAAAACTGTCATTCGAAAGCTTTTTAAAGTATTATGATTTTTTTATGATTTTTATGCTCCAAGAGCATCAGATGCTCATCGAGAGAGCTCATGTCGTTACATATTTTTTAGTACAAAACCAATGTAAAATATATTACAGTAAAAAATGGTGGCGGGAGGAAGGAACAGAACCTTCGTACCACTTGTAGACTGCTTGCAGTCCGCCTTTTCTCTTTGGACCGTCGAGCGTTTATCCCGGCATGCGCGTAAAAAGCCCAAAATGGCGGTATGGACGAGAAGGGGTTGGGGCGAGACGAGAAAAGACTGTTTCTCTTCTCGCGCTCCGCGCTCGCTTTTAATTCGATCGCGCTAGCTCGCCGCGCTTTCGAGAGAGAAACAGACTGCAAGCAGTCTATTCTTGGTTTTCACGTGACGTCATCAAATTCTAAAATTCAAAACCGCGAGGCCTACATAATTTTTACCTTCATTCAAGGAAAGATTACCTAAATATATATCTTTTCTCAGAGGGACTCCAACATGGCGTTTCCATACTGAGCTCTATAAATTTGTGTGGAACATTTTGACAAATAACTCGAGTACGGAATACCGCACAGACCTGAGACTTGGACTGATTCCTTATTTATTCATTATCTATGACATGTCAATTCCTTGACTTCATTCATTGAACGGTTTCGATTTTTTTAATTTATGGCGTGACAGTGAAAACAGAGAATACCACTTGATACCTAACTCCCTTCAGTTACCGGATGCGCAACTGTGCCAAGGAATTTCTATAATATCTGATATCCAAGACGGATATCAGGTTATATCCGAAAAACATTACACTCAGGCATGTATCATGTGATGTGCCATAACACGGCCCAGCCGAGCTCAATTCTCAAGAATCGAATCCGTTTTCGCTTCGTCTCAAAATGACACAGAGCAGAAGTTACAGTCTGCTATCCTGTGTAGGTATCATGTCTGTCGTGTCTGTTCTGTTGTACTGTGCTGGATTTGTAAGAGTTGAAATAAAGCTCAACGGACAGGACAAGAGAATGAACGAGTTGGAGGAATTGCTGACTGAAATCAAACGTCCTGCTACTACCGCAAGTCAACAAGATCTTGGCACGTCATTAACGGGTAAGCTTGTTTCAACTGTTTTAGAGAGGCTGAGTTTGATTTTTTGCGTCTTTTCTTTGCGTACCAGTACTGATTAAGGACTGGTAGAATAAATCTACTTTTAGTAGGCTATTTCGTATTCATGTCCCGGGGGGGGGGGTAGGGTTAGGGTTAGGGTTAGGGGGGGGGATACTCACAGAGTTTTATACGGGGAGGCTCCGCACCGAGGTCCAAACCCTTACCCTTTATATACCATTTTTGACAGAAAAGGTAACCCTTTCATATACCTTCAATAGAACATGGTACCCCTTTCACATACCTACAGTTGAAACACTGCATCCCTTTTACGACTTTTATTAAACTATTCGCATGAGTAGCCCCTTAAAATATTGGAAGAATCAGCCGTTAGGTGCGTCTGTTCGAGACATTTTGAAAGGCCCTTTTAAACACCTAAATGACAGTTTTCTCTACCCTTTTCTATACTCCAACACGTGAAATCCCTACCCTTTTATATACCTCAAGCCTGAAAAAGCTACAAGCTAAATA